CACACTTAGTTCTAATGTTCTGAGAACTCAGTGTTTCCTAAACCTGATGCTCTGGGTACCTTTCCTCTCTCTTTTCCTTTCCCAACAGAAATGTATGGAAATACTGATGGCTCAGTTCCTGCCACCTTTCAGATCTACTACATGATTGGCTGGAAATACCACGAATCACAGGTAGTGTGAAACCAAACTCTTTTCTGTTTTACTCTTTAAATAACTGATGCTTTAAAAGCTTTCTAGAAAACATTTAAACTTAAAACCAGCGCAGTGTAGATTTACTTTTCACTTCCTTTTTTTTTTTTTTTTTGTTTGTTTTTTTCCTTAGGCAAAACCAGCCCAGAGAGGTTCTGCAACAGTTTCCTTTGGAGATCTGGCAAAAATAGAAGGACTTCTTTCCAGAGGCAAAAAATAGTTGTCCACCAGAAACAATGATTATCTAGAAGCTTCTATAAAACTTCTCATTGCAGATGGTTTTCACTTTCCAGAGGCAAAAAATAGTTGTCCACCAGAAACAATGATTATCTGGAAGCTTCTATAAAACTTCTCATTGCAGATGGTTTTCACTTGTGCTTATTTAGTGGTGACATCCTGAAATGATAATCATGTATACACAGCAGGGTTTTATGGCTCTGTGCTGCCTCTGCCACGGCATCATCGGGGTAAAATAGTGTTTATTTTTTGTTCCTAGAGAAATATTTGAGCAGTTTTCTGAATGAATACATGCTCTCTCAACTTTTGATTAAATTGCTGTTTTCAAAAGTAAGATCTCCTCCAGCATTTCTGTATCACAGCCTACTCCAGGTATGATTTGCAATTCTTGGGTGAGTCTCAGCCTCCCTCATTTTTCAGTTATTCCTCAAGGATGATAGATCATAATAAAGAATGATATATTGTAAAATTAGAGAATGATGACAGGTGTATTTATAAGATAAAATACCAGCAAATAAAAATATCTGAATTATTGTGGCTTTCGTGGGTTGGAAATTATGGGTAAAAAGTTACTCTTTGAAGTGTATGAGATTTGAATAACTAAAGGTGATACTTTAAATATTAGTTTAAAATTATATTTACACATTACTTTCTGCTTTTCTGTGTTAGAGGCTGAAAACAAGAAGTATCATTTTCCCCTTGTCTGGGACATGGAGCTATAACTTTTCCTGTCTATAAATGCCTTAAGAAAAATTGATATTAATTAAAAATACGGCCCATTAACGTGAGGAGTTTGGGAAAAATATCTGCCCAGAGATTCCACGTGATTTTGGCACAGATAGAGATGGGTAGAAAAGAAAAGGATGAAGAATATATAATCAGTTTTATCAGTCAGTTTTATCATAGTATCTGATAAAGTGGTGTATCAATTCTAGTGGAACAAAAGCTTTTTTTTTTAAGCCTTTTTAAAGCTTTTTTCCTGAGTCTTTTTTTAAAGGTTATCCAGCAGGTGGAGCTTGACAGGACTTGTGTGTGGCACAAACCCAACAGGCCAGGTAGGCAGAAATCTTCCTATCCATAAGATCCTAATTTTGGGGGTTATTTTACCCTCCAGGCTTTCATTCTGAACAAGAAATAAAGGTACAAACCAGCATGATAAGGAGGGCAGGAATATTTTGTCCCACTTTTGCTTAGAATCCTAATCCATAGTTATTCGTGGGAAAGGAGTTCATCTTTAGTTTTCCTTCTAAAAGAAGAGCAACCCTCCTGGAAAAAGGGGGAGAGGCTGTGAGTGGTCTGATAACCTTTATGGCCCTCTAAAGAATAAATCTAAACCAAGAACTTATTTATTTCTGTGAAAGCCTCTTTTTTCTTTTTTT